AAAAAAAAAAATCTTGATTATATTAACATTAATAATTATTTTGTTTACCATGTAATCTACATCCTTTTCAGCAGATTTTTGATCGGTAGCAACCACAGCGGACGCTGATTTGACGATGGGTGGTGCGACGTAAACCAATGAAGATGTCCTTGGTAATGGTTTGTACGATATCGGTGAAGATACCTTCACATATGTAGGAGAACGAGCACGAGTAGAAGCATGGGAACCTCTTTTCACCGTCATTCCAGATTTAAAAGCACACGCGATAGCAGTTGGAATAGCGGAGTCGAGAGGTAAGCCACCAACCGATGAACATGGATAAAAATTTCGTTTACTTTCGAAATTTTCTGGAGTATACCTTTCCAAAAATCAAAAAAGATAAAGAAAAACACTAATCTTAAATTTATATAAAATTAACTACACGTTTTTATTGGGTTAACTAAAAATATTACAATTTTTTATTTGATGTGTTCAAATTTATGTTAGCAATGAATATCCTAGATGTAAGAAGACATTAACAATGCAATTATTTTTCTACGTGAATTGATGAAACGAATCGAATTAAATTATTATAGATTTTTATTATCTTTACAAATTTAAGAATTCAATTTATTCGCAAACATTCTTAATGATTAAACATAAAAAATTTCTAATTCTTACTCTGGGAAAACGTCCGCACGATTAAACTGCAATAGGCAACATAAAAGGAGTATCTGAAAGTAAATAAAAAAAAGAAGAAGAAATGTAATTTCGTCATCTTAGGAAGACATTCCAAAGAATGAAAGAAAGAGAAATGAAGAGATAGAGAAAGAACTATTCCTTATGGGAATCACGCGATCTTTTATGAGAGTTGCGTATGCGTGCACCAGATATATATCATTTGTAATAGTGTTCGTAAAATCCTCGTTGCATAATAGAAATGGAAACGATGAGTTTGTACCTTATAAAGGAGTGCCTCTCGTGTATTCGTTTGCTTTAGAAATACACAAATGTGTGTTCGTTTGAAATTAATTGCCAACCCACACGTCAATTTATCCTAACTTGTTCTCTCTTGAAACATAATTTAAAAGATACTTCTATCCTGACCTCTCTCAACACATACACACACACACACACACTCACATATACGGAAGACACGACTTAGAAATCTGAGATAATGATCATTGTTAATCCTCAACTCATTTCTCCTTACTTTTCATTTTATATATAAATATATATATATATGTATATATATATAATTAATTAAAATTATTTATTTTTATTTTTTTTTTTATATAAAATTTAGAAACAGTAATTAAAATGTCTTTCTTTTTATTTTTAATTCAATAATTGTTAATAAAAAATATTTAAATTATAATTAAATTTTCTACAGACACAATTCGAAGATTATTTTTGCAAAAGAATCAGTTTTTAAGTCCAGAGTTTTATAAATAATTCCGTAATACTTATTATCCTTGTATACACACACACATACACACATACATTTTCACAAAGCTAAAGCATCGCGTTCGCACGGTGATTTCGAAACGACGAGTAGTTGCACACGATAAAGATTAAGAGACTAATCCTTCTTTTAAAACGAATTAAAATGTAAAATCAAATACAAACAACCCTTATCAATCCTTTCGAAATGTTTTACCTCGAGCAACATCATCGTCGAACTTTTCTTGATAAAATTTCTTTTTGTTTTCAAATTTTAAAAAAGAAAAATCTCCGTAACAAAAAAACCAAGAAACTAAGAAAGAAAATAAATGAAGTAAAAGATTGTTTGATATTCTTTTTGTGAAGATTTTTGTTTGGTGTTTTTCGAAAAATATTTAAAACTGGCAATTGAACGAAGTCTTAGCGTGCTCAGACGGTTGCAGCATCCAACAGTGCGATTCTCTTCCTTTATATATACCGCGAACGTTCACTCACATTTTTCTTGTCCTCTCTTCCTCTCAGTGAGCTCGTCCTAAAACGACCACTTTAACTCGGTGCAATCTAAAAGATCCATTGCGCACGACACGCGCATGGGAACGAGACGTTTGCTCAAATACGACTCTATTTAACTACTAATTTTATTCTACACTTACATAGTCGATCTCATTTCTTTTAATGAAGCACAAACACTTTCCTAACGAAATGATCGAATTTACATCATAGTTTCGACAATTACAAATTTCTTTTCGTTATTCTCAATTTTTTTCACCTTTTACTCTTTCACCTCGATATTCTTCAAGGATATTCGTTTTTAATTGAAGATAGGATCAATCTTGTTCAATCATTATTGTTGCAACCATATTTCATCTTATCGTGATCTTATAAATGATCATTTTTTAAATGACTCGTTAAAAATTCAATAATTTTTTTTTATGAAAAATATATATTTAATATAAATCAGACAAACGATGTTAGATTGTAATTTCTACTTAATTTGATTTATCGCGATTTTTAAATTCGAATATTTAAAAAAAAAGATATCTTATCTTAAAGTTCGATCATATTTTTCTCATATAGTTTTTTTAATTTTAATATATATATATATATATTTTTTTTTTGTAGTACATTAAATCAACTATGTTTGATCATCCGGATGAATTATTTTTCAATATTTTTATTATGTTTATATATGCAATAAGAATATTTGTATATAAACCGAGCAATACTTTTACGTGATCATATTACGTGATGATTCTACTTATGTTCCCCTATACTTAAGAGAGATGCATACATAATAAAAGTACAATAGTGAAAGATTCTGGTTGCTAACCACTCCCTACAAATTTCTCCAATTATTTGCGCTCGTCTCGAGGTACTCCTATAAACGATATATGCTTTCTAACGAAACTATCCAAATCCGAATCAAAGTTGACAAACCGGATATAAAGACTCGTTCGATAAGAATAATTTCTTCTACCATTTCCGTCGTGAATATCCATCAAACAGGACTGAACACTTTTATGCGTGAAAAACAATGTCAACTGATTAAGAAAAAAGAAACAGAAATTGTTTAAATACAATCTACTTTCGATTTTACGTGTTAATATTTTAACCCTTTGTATTATAATTATTTTTCTACTTTATTCTCTACCAACTCCGATTTAATTTTTCTGGTTTTGGTGTTTCATATCAAAATTCAAATACTTAATTTATTATTGTTTATATATTTTTTTAAATATGGTACTTTTTCATTGCACATAATAGTACTAAAAAAGAAGGCTCATATGAATTTTTTGTATAAAACTGTTTCATATGTGGATTTACAAATAACTTTTTACTTTAGGGTAAATGTAATTTTATTATTAATGCTAACATAGTTTACGTAATTTATATTCATAAAGTCGTCGAGAACAACAGGTTTTATTAACTCGTTTGATTATTAAGTATCTCCTTCAGTTTATTCCTTGTTCTTTCGATATCATCTTCCATCACAGTTGGTTCCAAGCCTAATTCCAATTCCTCTTTTCTAATGTAAATAAGTTTTTCCAATTTATCTTTAAAAAATGTTTTTTGTTCTTCTTCCAATTGCGCTTTATACGCATCAAATTTTGCTTGTTTTATTTTATCGCAATACTTCTGTGTTAATTTTCTTAAAGAAGGTTTCCTATACGCTGGAGTTTTATCTCTGTAGAACAAAGTTAAAATAAGAAAATATATTAATTGCAATGTATCGTTTTAAAATATATTAAGATATGAAGGAGAATAAGGTATACATACGATGGTAAGGCTTTGTAAAAAAGATTTAATTTTTCTAAAATCCATTCAAAACGTTTGTAATCCCATTTGCGCAATTTTCTCAATAATTTATTTCTCTTGTCTATTAATTCCCTTAAAAATACTTTCTCTTTCTTATCTCTAGGATGGTTTACCGCGTTTTCTTGTAACTGTAGTATTTCAGCTGTCATTGCAGCAACTTAAAAAAGATTTATTTGTTTATATATTTAAATACGTATGAGCAATCAGTAACGCATAAACCTACCGACCATCAATACAATTGAAATTTCATTAATCACTGTATGAATTCTACAATTATGCAATCTTTACTTTACCCTATTTAAGGTTTATAAACTAAAAAAAAGTTTGTACGATAAGCTATATGTTTTATTTTCATTAAATTAAAATCCTTCAATTTTATTTAATCAATTTCAGATCGTTGAGTATCGGTAGCTTCATGACTCAAATTTTGTAGGTCCAATTATAAAATAAAACGTACTTTTAACTTCTGTAGAACCACGGTCTGATCCATGTCTTTTAACCATTTCTATTATCTTCTCCCTTCTTATATTTATAGTTTCTTTTCGAGGATAAAATTGTAATGAAACTAATCTTCTTATGATTTCATCGGCGCTAATATAAAATTTCTAGCTTTTAGATGTAATGTTATAAATGTTAATAATAACAAGATGTTCTTGTTATTTTTATAATAACTTTTTAATAAAACATTTAAAAGTCTGTTTATGCAACATTGTTTCTTTATTTTTATTTAAATAAAATAATATATGTGTGTTGATGAAAAACTAGAACATCTTGTATATAATATTATGTACTCTTGTAGAATTATACTTACTCTTGTAGTTCTTTGGAATTTTCATATCCTAAAACTAATTGTGTTGGTTTTATGTCAACAGGTATACCTAAGTCACCACTTTTTTCTGGATTTGATTTTGGTATTTTCTCAGGTCTAACCCATTTGATATTGTAATCTGACAAATGTGTAGCATATTCTTTTACAAAATATTGGCTTATTATTCTATTAATTGTTGTTTTGGGCAAATTTCTACAACAATTAACTAATGTATTCATTTTGTTATTCCTCTTTTTTTTTAATTAATAATAGTTGTTTTAGTTTAACATCATACACTCTTGTTACTACAAGTAAACAGACTTGTTTTTAAGGTTATGTATGAGGATATATACAGACGATTTTAGAATTGGAACTTAGAAATTAAGTTAACTTTGTTTTTGTTAATTATATTCAATTAAATTTATATATAATGGTTAGAAATATTTTAATATTTTAAATATTTTATTATACGAAACATTTATTTATATTTGTAGCTCGTGATTGGTCGTATTACAAAAGCACGTTTCCGATTGGTTAAAATAATTCTATATATAAAAACACGTGATTTTTTCAAATTAGTATTACTTAAAATTATGAAGGATAAGCTGTAGGTTCTAAATTTAATAAAACAGAATCGTGTCGTTTGATATAATTGTATATTCTAATATAAATAATTAGTATACAATTAGTTATTAATATTAGGCATCTATCTTCCCAACAACTTCAAACCATTGTCTTAGAGCATCGCTTAAGACTTCAGGTAACATATTTATATCTCTCAAAATCATATAAAATGGAAATGGGAAACTATCCATGTAAGAACGAATTCCTAATAATTTACCATCTTCAAATACAGGCATCCTTATATCCAAAATGGAATCCTAGAAATATAAAAATTATCCATTGTTATAAATAATTCTTTCAATAATATCTTTCATAATATCTGTCAATAATAATAATAAGTTATATTTTTCAAATTTTTAAAATATATTACCTTATTTATTGGGTTATCTACTATTATGAATACAAGGAAAATATCTGCCATTTTGGCTCTTCTAACGGCATAATTTATTTTATCTGTTCCTTCTGAAAATACACCTCTACCATCGGATAATATAACAACCAATTTAGCATTATCGGAAGAGGTAGATTGAGTTTCAAACATATCTACAGTAAAGTCAACTAATTGTCCTATTGATGTCTTTGTCTGTTCAAATCTCATATTTTGAATTAATCTAGAAAAAAATATTGAAAGTAATCAATTAAATTTGAAATTCATATTTCATATTATCAACGTGTAAAATATAAAACATGTTATTTACCTGGAACCACTTTGTTCTGTGAATGTTTCTCCTAAAGGATGTAAAACGCTTACACGTTCACCAAAACTTATAACGCTAAGTTCTCCTACTTCTAAATACGTTAAAGCTTTACTTATTAATGATAAAGATTCAAAAGCTAATTCTTTGGAATGATTATCAGCCATACTACTCGAATCATCCAAAGCTAAAACAATTTGATAATCACGTTTAAAAGGTTTTGTCCTCCGAAGCCAAATTTTATCTTTTCTGAATTGACTAGCAATAAACGGAATAATTTTTCGCATATTAATACGTTTGCCTGTTCTGTAATCTCCTTTTAATCTTGTTGCTTTCGTAGGTTCTAAAACCAGTCTTAATTGTTCAGACAAGCCACGAGCTGCTGAATCGGTGACCTCACATAAACGATTCCATACAATTGCTGCTTCTTCCGTCGATGGTACATCAATCCATTCGCTTAATATCTTTTCAACATCTGATCTCGCAATTTCTATTACATTATTTATTGCACTATTTTTATCTGCATCCATATTAGTATGAAACGTTGTATCATTTCCGCGTTCTATCTTACATGTTTGAACAACATCGCCTTCTACTTCAACATTCGTTTCTACTTGATTCATTTCAGTGGTATTATTTCCTTTTAGCGATGGATCGTCTTTATTTTGTTCTTCTTTGTCTCGAGCTAATTTCTCTGGATTTTGTTTAGATACATTATTCTCCTCTTTATTATCTTCACTTTCATCCTGATGAAGATCAATGTCCATACTCTTTTCTTCCTCTTCTTCTTTCTTTTCTTCATCTTCAATATTCGATGCTTGTTGTTTAACTTGATTATCTGTAGCTGCATCCATTGCATAATCATCGAATTGTTCGCTATTTTTAATATGTTGACACATATCAATATCATCTTTATCTTTGTTTGTCGATTGATCCTTTTGTTCCTGTTCCGAAATTTCTTCCTGTGTATGAATCATCTTCAATTTTTTCATTTCTGGCTCATTTGTGTCGAATAAACTTCTATTTTCGTCAGCTGTGTCTAAAGTTTTTCTTTTATTCATCTGTTGTGATTTACTTTCTTGATGGGATATAGAACTATTGTCATCTAAAGATGAACCTGCGTGACCACTTTCTTGTCTCTCTGAGTGCGATTGTCCAACGCCATTATTTTTACTGTCATCTTGACTGCTTTCTGTAGGTGTCTCCTGTTTTTGTTCTGTTTGAGATTCTTGTATAACATTATCTTTAGATCCATCTTTACTAGCATCAATTTGTTCTGCAGCATCAAGTTCCTTACTTGCATCATCTGCACTAGGTGCAGCCTTCTCTTGCAACTCTTGTTTGTCCTCTGTTTCTTCGTCTTTCTTTTCTTCTTCTTCTTCTTTATTTATATCTTGCGTTTGATTCGATGTACCTTTAGGATCAGCATCTTCATCTACTTTTTCATCATTATCCTGACCTTCAGGTTCCCCTTGTTCTTTGTTTTCATCGTTATTAGAATTATTATCATCGTCATCATCAGAAGCAACATCCATTTCGTTTTTCTCTTCAGTTGTTTCTTCTGCTGGATCTGTATTTTCAATTTCTGGTGGTGGTTTAGAATCTTTCATTTCGTCTATGTCAAATGGATTTTCATCACCAGGATTATTGTCTTCTTTTTCATTATTGTCGTCATCCAAATTCATATCTTCCGGTAAATCCAATGGTTCGGGTTCTGGCTGTGGTTGATTTTTACCATGATAAGGATCGATTTGATCATCGTTATATTCCGGTTCATTTATTTCATTAATTTCTTTCTTCTCTTCCTCACGTCGCTCATCTTCGTCATGTTCTTTTTCATTATTTTGATCATCTTTGTTAGAACCATCCTTCGCAGTGAGTTCTTTATTACCAATCTCTTCGCCTTGTCCTCGTTCATCTTCCCCATCTTTAGGCTCGTTATTTTCATTTTCAGATTCTTCCTCCTCGTCATCGCCCCAAATTTCTTTATCCAGTTTTTCAGCACCTTCCTCCGTTTCACCCATTTCTTTATCCAAATCCTCATCTTTCTCATCATCTTTTTCTTCCTCGTCATTCTCATCTTTCTCAATATCTTGCAACTTATTATCAAAGTTTTCAGACATCTCAATTCCGTTATCCTCTTCCTTACAATCTTTATCTTCTGATTTTTCTTCTTCTTCATCAGGTCGTTTTGCATCTTCTAATTGATCTTCAGTTTCAATCCTATCGGAAACATCTTTTTGTCCTTCTCCTTCGCCTAAACCCATTCCACCTGTTTTAACATCATTTCCTGTCTCGTCTGTGTCACCTTCTTCTAAGTCTAAATCTTTGGGAACGCAGAATCCATTTGTTGCTAAATCCAAAAACACATTCAATTGCAAATACAATAATTTGCACGTAACTCGGAAAGATGCAACTTGTTCATTCAAATAAAACTGTACCAATAAAAGATATTGTTCCATTAATGGTAGACATTGCAAGAGTAGCCTGTAACAAATAATTATAGTCATACAAAAGTAATTCAATTAAATTATTTAATAGGAACAAAAAAAAAATATTTTACAAATACTTTACCTTTTATGATCTTGGTTTTCACCTATTTTGAGCAAAAGATCATTGAATAATGCAGATATGTGAGAAATGTTTAATTCTTCTATATTCTTTTCCAAATCTTCTATTAATTTTTCTGTCAATTTATTCTTTTCGAACTCATCGTCCACGTTTTTATCGTTATCATCATCATCATCATCATTGTTTAAAATTGGTGCATCGTTCTTTATCGTATTGGCTTTGTATTTCTTTTGTACGACAAGTAAAATATTTTTTACGAGATTGTCTATACACCTTTTAATACATTCTGTATCATTTGAAGATAAATCTATGTTTTTATTAATCGGCAATTTTCTTAATTCGTTGAATGTGTCAATGCTATTTTCAATTTGTGTTTGTAAAAATTCTATACTTTCTACAATAGGATGCTTATCATTCTCAGAAATAAAAGCTAAAGACAATGCAGTTGTTTCCATTTTTAACGTTGTAATATGTTTGAAAGTATCTTCCAAAACTTGCAAATGATATAGGTCCAAAGTTTTGTCATTTATCATATTTTCTATTTTCGCCGAAACAAACACTGTGTTAAAAGTTCTTGAAATTTTTCTTATCATTTTTAAATTTTCTTTCAATTTAGTTTTTATATCATCCTGAATATTGTTGGAAGAATTAAATATTGGCAATGTAGTTTTTTCTAAAATTAATATGTCAATTTTGTTTTCCTCTGATAAATTAATTGGACAATATTGCAAGTACATCGAAAGTTGTTCGAAACTGAGCTCCAAATTGATCATAGATTCTTTAATTATTTCAATATTGCTTTGGAATTCTTGAGAAATATCGATGTAAACGTTATCGATTTCTGATAAGTTCTCAACAAGCGTTCTAAGAGGCTTATAGTTAATAAATAATTTACTTAGAATTAATCTTTGTTTATTAGCCATTAACATCATATGACTCGAATAACCACGACAACGTTCTATGTTCTGTACGCCCAAATCGGTTTGTGCTGTTCTTAATATCGCATTAAGTGCATTTAATTTAATAATGGATTTGTAATAATATTTATCGCAACCTGTCCATTGTATAAGCATTTGTTTATCTATATTGGACAGATTGAAATATTTGTTTACGACAGAAATATCTAAGGGTGGTATCGTAAAATCAATAATTTTATTAAGATTGTTTCTCCAAGTTAATATACCGATACGGTAGGATACACCCATTAGATTCAAAGCTTTGAAATAATCAGTTAAAGTCATTTTCTTCTGTTGCAAAATACTCTTCGCTTGTGATTTTTGTTTATTTTTTGGTAACGATTTATCAATCTCTAAATTCTTCAGATGGATACTCTGTTCTATGTAATCTTGTATAAAATTCTCGACGTCCATTCTAATTGTAGGATATGAACTCGTTAAAATGATTTCTTTGCAGTAACGTTTAGCTTTATTCAAAAGTTTGTCACCGCTGGAAACGAATTCGTATTTCACG